GATCCATTAATGGTGCGTTGTAAACAAAACATTTTCCTCTCTGGATTAAAATGTGAAAATGATATTTGGAAAACAATACGCACAACTCAAAAAGTTATCCATGAATGATTTATTATTTCCTCGTTTTTAATGCAATGAATGGAGGAAAATCAACAACTTGACTGAATCATCAAATATTTCCAAATCGGATTTGGAGTTGAGAAAATCTACTTTTGCAGAATTAAATTTAGGAAGGGGTTGAATTAAAAAAAAACAGAAAGGCAATGCAAAAGTCATGCCTTATCATAAGTCCGTCAGACAGAAAACCATCTAACCTTCAACTCCACGAATTCCCCTTCACCGTCAACTGCCCCATCACTCATGTTAGTCATGGTTGGCAGGCACCCTCAACTCACCGCCGACATGACATGGAACCGCTCGACTCAGAAGGTATATGCAATCGATTATTCTCTTAGCAGAGAATAAAGGGTCCTGCTTTACTTCTTGAATGCTTTATCACCACAATGGCGTGGTTTAACTCCTTTCTGGATGGTAGAGGTTCTAAGGTGACACGTACCACACCCTTTGCAAATACTGCGCAACGAAGTTGAGCAGAAGCTCTGACAGATTTGGGACCAAGTGAGAGTAGCTTTACTAAGCCGACAGCAGAGCGGACAGACGCCATGTTAAAATCGCGCCTACCCACCCCGTCAGTTAGTCAAATTCACCGGAAACTTGATAACGTGGGATGGGTGCTGGGGGATGGGTTTAAAGCCAACGCATTTTCATTCACGCCTCATCTTGCACCCACACAAACAATCGGTGTTTGACAAGTGACGGCATGGCGAGAGGAGTCATTGCAGTAGAAAACTACAGGAACTATTTTTGTCATCTAACAAGGGCCCCACAGGGAGGTCTTTGCATTGAAAGTCTCAAATGACACCTGACAAACAAAGGCGAGGCTCTGCTCCTGCCACGTTTTTTTCATCTTAGTCTTTCATTTCTTCGAGGTGTGAGTGATAAAACTTCTTCTAGCCTCTTGCATAAAATAATGCTGCCGTAACTTGGCAGTTGCTCTGTCATTACAATGATAGCTAATTCGACCTCTACTCACGACTTTATGCCAATGATTGGGTGTTTGTTTATCTGCCCTTTTATCTATACGGTCCTTTAGATCTCAGCAAATCTGCGCTTCCGTTTAATTGTCGCGGCTTCCCAGTCTTATTAATTTAAAGCGTTAATAACAAATCCTCTGTCAGAAGAGGAGGCGAACAGGGGAGGGAGGCTGAAGAGAAGAAGCCTCTGCACCTGAATTTTCCACTCCTCCTCTACTCCCCAACATGGAATCAATATTAGTGCATTTTACTTCTTATTCCACTATGATTTTCTTTTGCAAATAATTACTAGTGACAACATTGCAGTTACCTCTTCGGGAGGTGGGGTGTGATGGTGAGGGTGGAGGTGGGGGCAGTTATTCAAAGGCAAGAACAGTGGACATATTTGCGATATCGTCTAAATTGACTTCCTCCATCCTGCTACTATTTTCAGGCAATTTCTCCCACTCTGTAGTGCTAAAACAGGAACTGAAACAACTGATTTAGGCGAATGGTATTTTTAGTAGCCAGAACGAACTTGAATTAATGGCTCTGGAGGACAAAGTACTGGGGAAAAAGGCACTCTTATAATTAAAAATGGATCCTACTATGTCTGGTTTCCTTAAGAGGGGAAGGGGAAGGAGGGTAATTGATGACTAGCCGGGATAGTGTAAATAAGTAGAAATGAAAGTGACGAACTTGAAAGGTTGTCAAATTCACAACTTGCGTAGCAGTCGCAGGGCCTCACTTCTGCCTCGGTGTACCAATGAGAGGCTTTAACAACGTGTAGGCTCCAAACGGTAGCTGGGAACAAGCGAGTGTAATTAGACAAATTACAAGGTAAAACCAACTCAATTTGGGGGAAGGAAAGGACCTACGATAGAAATCAAGAGAACTGGAAGGCAAGGTAAAGAAAGTCTGCGAAAACCTTATTACCCATGCCAACAGTTGTGTATGGCTTGATTTTGCCATGGGAATGCAAAAATGGAGAGACATGAACGTATCAGTGAATGATGCAGCAGTATTGAAAAGAGCTGCCTTGGAGTGGACATTTCTGGAATACCAAATCGCAACTTGACTCGTGCTAAGTGCCCACCATTCGGTGCCTAGGGCTTCCATACCAAATGATTTATGGCAAGTCCTCGCCTCCTCCATACATACACACACACACACACTGACACACACATTTGTGACCAGATGGAGGCGTTCCAGAGGTACGCTTTTGGCTGCAGCATGACGAAGGGAAGGCAGTAGGAATCGCAATCTCCACAGAATTGATGATTCCGTGGTGTTGGGGTTGGAGAGTCCCACAACACTGTCCCTTCCTCGTCCATTCATCCACTCACTCATCCACCGATCGTTGTGGTGGCAACAACAGCTACATCGGTTGGTATTTGGTGGATGAATTGGTGAGCTTTTCCAATCCTTGTGGGTCACATCGAGTAGGCAGGATACGTAGGTGGAAAGGGTCAGAGGGTGGGATTGGCGTAAAATGGAGAGAGAAGAAGTGGATGGAGAGTGAGATGAATGACTTTGGTCATCTGTCCTTTTATGTTCTGTCCAGCCCACTTCATCGGATGTGGATGGGAGCAGATGACC